GAGTATCTGAGCAATGAGATTCCCCTACACACTAGCCATTAGACAGTCTATCGTTCCCTCCCAGTGAGAACAGCAGTTCTAAAGGTTGTTTATATACAGGACAAGTTCTGTATGATCTGTCACATTCATCTCTATTTCCCATTCACCACGGGGCACTTGAACCACATCAGAATCTATTACCACTATGCAGATTCAGCCCCTGCTGACAATACAAATCATGATAAGATGGAGCAGTGCCTCCATAAACACCCTTGCTGATATAGCACATCATATGAGCTGGAGAGCAGATCCCACTTGTCGTTCCCATGTTATCGTCTATTTATATGGATGGACTAAAGATACGGGTATCATTACATCTGAGTCTATCTTTAACCTGTGTCTGTTACTATCCCATTCAAACAACAGATATAAACAGTCGTGGGTGTTTATACATATGTGTGTGTGCGTGTGTATGTGTGTATCTGCGAGAGCATCCATCACTCAGCAGTAGGAGTTCCAACTCAGCTGCTTGTGAGGAGAGATTTATGCTGTAATGCATCAAAACAACAGACCTTTACAGTAAAATATGATTTTATCAATAGGCCTGATCAATAGTGCATGCAAGTTGCTGTGTAATTATTACAGAGGTCCGTATCAATAAAGCTGTGATGCATGACCTCCTGCCACAGACTATGGGGCTGGCAGTCAAAAACAGGCTTGTGTAGAGGTCCTGACAAGTTTTAAGAGCAGTTCTAAACAGCAACATATTTAAAGCTATATGCATATGATGTGTTGCACTGACCAACTGACAGTGACGAGTCTGTTTAAATACAGTTGTTGCCAATGATGTGTTTCCTTGCACCTCTACAGACATTAGAGATTATACATGACAGAGACGCACATGACTGTCTTTACTGGAGTGAGGATCATTTGTCCTGAAGCAAGGCAACCCAAGATTGCAATCCTGTCAAAAAGAGCTTTGTATAACACTGTAGTGGCAGCACTCTGCATTAACACATGCACACAGTCACATACACACACATGCAGTACACTAGAGAGAGCGCATGAGGCAGGGACCAATGAGGCAGTTTATATCGGGATTTTGTTTCACAGCCATGGCCTCCTGGGAGAGAGGGGTCTGCCAATAACACTTAAGAGACAGAGCAGGAAAAGTAAGTGCTTTTATTACAGCTCATCACTCATGTAATTTCTGGCAGCATTTGTGATTACAGATCAAGTGATTGACTAACTACACATTCGGCGGCTGAGTTATGAACCGGGTGCCTACCATTCCAGCGCCGGCAGATTCTCTGTGTCAGCTGTAACTCATCCTCTCCCCGGGTGCTAAATCAAAGCACACACTGCAGCTAGAAGAGTTAAATAATAACTTGAGCTTTACTGTAAATCTGTCAGAAATTAAACCTTTACCTATGTCATCTTGGCTCTGATGTTGTACTGCATGGGTTGCAGAGGCTGGACGGGGGATCAATACAGGCCTCGATGGAAGTATTGATGGATGACAGCTGAAGTGGGTGTGTATGCATGTGTGTATTTGTGGATGGGTGTGTGTGTAAGGAATGGTATTGAATCACCCTGGGGTTAGCTAGAGAGCACGGCTCAGGTTGCTTAATCGACAGGTCTCACCTTGAATCGATTGACAGAAGTCTTGCAGGGTAAAGACGTGATACACACAATCAACACGTACTCACACTCACCAAACAAACTATAGAAATTGTAAGAGACAATGAGGTGGGATGACGGCGGATGTCTCAGGGCCATTAGTAATGCACCCCTCTATGTTGTCAGTGTACGATTAGTTACTCACAAAAGCAAATCTAAGACTCAATTCAAAAGCATTTTCAGTGCTTTATTTATCACTCTGCTAGTGCATTAATTCAATGCACACCTTGGCTTCAGTTCACCAAATTGGTGCTCTTTTTGTAACCTTTAAAATAAAATAAAAAAAACAAACCTAAATGACAACTACTCTGATGAATGTAAAATAGGAAAACTAACACATATGGTCAATATTTCAACATAACTCACAGTAACTTAGCAAAGTATCTTCTTACTGCAATTTCCAAATATAAAGTTTGTGCTTAAAGTGATAAAATACTAAAATATATAATACTAAAATATAACTAAATTACTATTGATAAGTAATTTTATATTACAAAAATTGACTTAACTTTACACATCAGAGTGATTTGTCTAACTCAGTGCTGCCAATATGTTCCACAGAGCCAAGTTATTGACAAAAGGTCCTTTTTGCTCAGTGCTGATAATGAAAAAAAATGTCACAAGTGCCACTTATAATGAAATCCTTAGAAGAGGAACTGTCATGTGGTCTGCAAAGAACCAGTCTGCATAGAGTACAAGGCTAATGAATGACCTTTCTCTAAGAAACATGAAAAACAAGAGAGCACAGACATGAGCAAAGCAGACTCAAAGGAAGCACTGTTTCCTGTAATGATCCTATTTAGTTTGAGAAACCTCATCATATAGTATTATCTCTGCAACAAATCAATTTCCTCACACTCAAAAGCGCCCTAGTAGCATGCACATGTGACTCATACTGCGGAGACGTGCGCCCATGAAAGCACTCCCCCATGAAATACCTTACAAGGGGCCAAGCTCTGAGAGGGCGTCATGTCTTTAATAAACAACATATTGTAAGTATTAGAATGAATGTGGGTCAGCAGTATGCAAGGTAAAAAAAAAAAAATTCAAACTCTCTCAAGTTCTGTCGAAATGTGGTGATTCAAGGACTCTGCAACTCCTACATGCCGCTTTGACTGTAACACCAAAGTATAATTCTTTCAGATGAGGTCAAGGTTCATGAGCATCGTTAACTGAGATGGTTTGTAAGAGCAGTGTATTTTCCAAATTACAGTGTGGTGCAATGTGAAGCCCTTTCATGCTGATCCAGAGCCTGTTTTGGAGAACTCTTACAGAGCAAAAGAGGCCAGTTAGCGGAAAACCAAAGCTATTTAGCTGAGGCTCCTCAATAAAATCATTATCAAGTAGATAACAGAGCGCACATTCTGTTTCTATCAGTTTTGGGGACACTGTTGACTTTATGGGTGAGTTGTGAATTATCAGTACGATGCACATATGTTGATTTAAATCACTCATATGCCCTGACTTACAAGGCTAAATATGGAGACAAATTAAAGAATAACCTGAATCAGTGGAGAAACATAGTGACTGCGGATGCTGGCATGGTTTGGGTCCACTTGTCCCCTTAGAGGGGCGGGTCCCTGCAAATTAGTACAGACTTGTTCTAAGCAGTCACCTTTATCCTTTATGATGAAACACTTGTCCAGTCTTGTCTAGGATGACAGTGCCCAACACCTTATTATGACACTTAATGTTGGTATTTCCTTTAATTTGTCACCTGTCTCAATGTTTCAAATATTAACACATTTGATACATTTCCTCTTATACATTTTTCCAGGAAATGTCAAAGGAAGAAAGCACTTGTCTGTGTGTAGGACAGTACCTTCATGATTCAGAAGAGGAAGGAGGTGGAGACACAGAGGTTCCCTGATGGAAGGAAGGGGAGGAAATGTGAACTTGCTATTCAGGGCTCAGATGGGGAAGAGAATTATAAATCGAAGACTTGAGATCAGTGTGTGGTCTTATTCTTGAAAGGTGACAAGAGGCTACCCTCTGAGGCCCGAGACTTGTACGTCTCCCAGGAGGTTTTGGTCTAAGCTTGGGACTCTGTAAATTGTTGCTATCACTTCCAGATTTCAGGACCACTTCAGTCAGATGTGCAGATATCTCCTAAAGATAAAAAACACATGAGGGGGAAAAAAAGAAAAAACAAGAATACATGTGAATACAATTTACTTTTTAATCTGAATTTGCTTCTGAGATGCTATAAAATAGAGTTTTCACACAAACACACACACACAAATCCAAAATTATACAATATATAATTTCTTCCAGAGAACAGTTCTTATTCTAAATGAACTCAGTCTCTAGGGAATATAAATGCTTTAGTTCTTACTGTTAAGTTACAAGCAGCAGTTCACTATGAAAGTCACACTCCTAGCCTGCCACAATCTTTACATTAGTTTTCTATTGTCAGTTACTGTATCTAATAGAAGAAAAAAGTATATTTGAAATGTACTTAAAATAAATAAATTCATTTAAAATATGTAAACCTGGATACATGTTTTACTTGGAAGATGTACAGTACTTCTCATGGGAAACAAAAGCTGTACCATTTGATCTCTGTGATCTCACCACATTTCACCTCTCCAGCCTCAACTAAAATTCTGCTATGGGACTGCGGTGCTGCCAGTAGCCGGGGAAAGGTGCCGAAAGCGTGCCTGCATTGCTCTCCCTTTGGCCTGGGTAATAAATGCAAAGTAGTGAAGACTACACCTGTTCTTCCTTTGCTTCTGCATAGCTCTTTCCTCAGCTGCCACTGTCCTGCTGTTCTGCAGCCTTCTCTCTCATCGTCCTGGTCAGCTTTGATTGATGAGCGACCAAGTCCTCTCTTGTCCATCCCTGTTGCAGACCTGGTTTCGTTAAATGCTGGACAAATGCTGCACAATGCAACACCCCACCCCCCTCTTCATGTCCTTCTTCTTCCTCTGTACTCTCACTTTGTTCATCGTTCTTCTGCTCTTCAGAGCTCCCTGCTCTGTCTTGGCTTTGAGGGTGTTTGTGTTGAACCTGCTTTAAGTCCTGTCAGGAGGATATGTGGTACGTCTTTAGGTTGCTATTGTGACAATGGCATCTTAATTTTGCAGTCACAGTAAACACATTTTAAAGTAGGTATTTGTGATAACCTGTAACCAGCCATAGTTTAGTTTATTAACTCTAAAGTGATTCACTTAAAATGAAAATCTGAAATCTTTTGCCAGCATAGCCAGACTAAATGTATATGTGTTCCTAGTTGGCTTGCTAACATTTGCTACTGATAAGTTTACACTTACTGCAGATGGATTTTGTTTAGAGTTAGAGGGTATGAGAACACTATGGCTAGACTGTGAGGACAGGACCTTAGGAGAGCTGAATGCAGTCAGTGACACTAAGCTAATGGAGCCATTGATGATCAGTAAATCTCTGAAAAATAATGACTTGTTAAACCACATCATGTTTTTTTGTTTTGTTATTCCACATACAAATATGCACATATGCAATTTACTCTTAAAATTGTGACTTGGTAAGGTAACACTCATCAGTGCACAGTATAACTCTTATAGGCTTTATTAGGGGGCTTAAATGAAATACCAGCTCTGTGCGCTGCCTTAAGCTCTGTGGGTGTGAATGTGTGTGTGTGTGTGTGTGTGTGTGTACATGTGCACTGCTGTTTGATGTTTACAACTCACCAGATTTCTCAGAGAATGTTGTCCATGTAAAAAACATGGCTACACTGTAGGTGGACTAACACAACTCTATCACAGTAATAGAACTACATTCCCTCCTCTACCTCAGCCTGGTGCAGCATGTTTCTCCAATCAGAGAACAGCGCCCCAGTCGATAAGCAAATGCAGCACCAGATGTAATGATGCAGACTTAAGGCAAGAGGAAAGCTGCATGAAACTGCACTGCAGCATTTGACCCCATTTAAAAGCTTGATACCAATTAGAGAGTTCTGGGTGTAAATAATTGAAGTGATCTCTCCCACTGAACACACAAATATGGACATGCACACACACATGCATCAGTGTGCATGTGCATGGACACATTCTCTCACATTAACTTACTAACATATACGCACACCCCTGTGCACATATGCGGAGGTATACCCACATGCACACACACACACAAACACAGATTCCACCATGCTCTGGAAACAGACTTCCTAATGAAGCCTTCTCCAAGTGAAAGTAGAGCAGAAATACATACTGGCCCATTTCTGCCTTCAGTTCACCCTCCTCTCCTCACTCTTTCTCCCCCTCACCTTCTCCACATCATTTGTTTTATTCATGTTTCGTTGTCTTTCTCTTTTGTCTCAATGAGTTAAATCACAACCCCTAATTTATAGCTACAGGCAAAGACACTTCTCCAAACAAACTGGCTGATGAGGGGGGATGACTGAAAACATACACCGCGAGTGGTGTGTGTAAATCTTAAAATGTCTGTTACTGTCTTTTTATCTGTGGTTATTTACATAAGAAATGACAACAAGTGTAAAAGAATGGCTGTGATGCAAAATGGAAAAAAGAAGCTGTGTGCTGGAGGAGAGAGGGAGTGAGAGAGAGGGAGATAGATGGGGGAGAGAGAGACTAAATCCAATGGCACTAAGTGAGGTGTGCTCAGGTGTGGTGAGAGGATTATACAAAACCCTGAGTATGAATGACAGTAAACACCTGAATGACAGAGAGCCGGGGAGGGGAGGGAGTTCTGGTTTATGTGTGTGTTTAAGTGTGTATCTGTGGCGGTTTAGTGGTCCTCACTGATATTCTCACAGGTGAGTGAATATATTCACTACCTAATATTTTAGGGGCTACATTATTTAACCAAGGGCAACTTGTTGTATCATATCACTCGTTACTGATATGTTAACTTACAGAATGTATAAACAAATGGAAACAAAAAAGAAAGAGGATTTGAGAAGCAAAAAATGGATGCATGGAAATGAAGGTCTCAGCAAGAGCGATCTACTGCAAGAGTTGAATTCGCAAGCGAGTTATAGATTGAACTATACAGTATTCAAGCAAGTCAATAAAAAAGCCACAGAGAAGGAAAGAGGAGATATGTTGTCTTACTTGCACTGTGTTTTCTTTCTCTGTCTGCTGTGTAGGTAGGGGACTGCTGACAGTGTCTCTTAAGCAAGCTTCAGTTTCACATTCTCTGTTCTTCTTTTTGATACCTGAAACATAAACACAACTCTCAGAACCGCCAATCAACACTTTAATGCCCTTTTATATCTTCTTTAATCCAATCTTTTTCATTTCATGGCTTTCTGTTGCCATGTCACCATTTAAAAAAGCACTTAGAGAGAGAGGGCGAGTGTGAAGTTCCATTGCGAGGCGACTGAGCGAGCTGGAGGCAGGTCAAAATATCTAATCCTGTATTGTCAGTGCAGCCCTGCTGATTTTTGTTAAATTGCATGTTTAAGTTGGATAACAAGCTACTTTCTGCCAGATATTAGCAGCAGTGCCAACATATTTGGACCCCACCACGCACACACACACAAACTCCACTCCCACCCACACACACACTGTGAAAGGCTCAAATGTACTTTTAACCTTTGGCTTAAGGTTAAAATCAGAAGACAGTAATACATGTTGATTCCTAGATCTGCTCTTAGTGAAATCCCTCACCTCTGGAGCTATATCACTGTACCGCACTGACTCTACATGAAGCGTGACCCCGTTTCCCCCACGGCGACCCCCTCCTTCTCTTCACAGCCTTGGAAGATAGAGGAGCACAGGGGAAAGGCATGCCAAGGCAATAGACACTTTTAAGCAAAGATTAAAGGTTTTTCTTTTTAATCAGTCATTTGGCAGCAGTGTTAGCATTTCACCCTGATGCGGGTAAGGATCAATTTTTAATGCTGCTGTGCTGAGAGCAGACATAGTGATTGGCAAGAGAGAAGCTATTTACAAAGGATCTATTTACAAATTTTCCATAGAAATATGCAGAGGGCACAAATTGACATCTCTTACAGAATTTTAAATAAGCTTCTCCCCTTTCTTCACTTCGTTACGAGGCACGACCTCTGTGAGCCCCTGATGATCACAGTTCTGTGCATGTGTTCGCTCACATGTTTCCCATATAAGAATAATAAAGGAATCTACACCTCTCCCTTGTGTTGCATTGTGTTACATGTTGTACTGCCAGGGGCTGGGTAAGTAGGTCAGTCAACCCTTGTGTAAACACATCACAAAAATCCACCAAGAACACGCTAATGACAATGACTCTTTTCATACTCTTAGTATATGTCTTTACTTTTCCCACTCTTCTATGCTACAATAAAGTTTACAGTATATACAGAGTGTAATACTTTGGGGGAGATCAAACTGAACTTGTGTATATCTAAGGAAAACTATTGGTAAGTGTGGGCATCTTCAGCATATGGACGTACGTAAGTGCTGCACTGTATACCCTCAGTATGAAAAACTGTTGTATAGCACAAGTTTAAAAAATTATTAAAAAGTAATACAGGGTCTGTTTGTTGTTTGTTTAAGTTGACTTTGTGTAAAAACATTTCCCAGTAAATCTTGGTGTGTGTTGAAGACAGAGTGGGCACACACAAGTTCATGTCTGCACAGACCTGACAATGCTGCCCCCTCCCAACCCCCCGTGTATCAGTCTTCATATCCATTCATGAATCAATCCATATATCCATCCATTATCCAACTGTCCCTTCATTCGTGATCCAACCATCCATTCATTCAAGCAGTCAACCAGCCCTCTAGCCGACATGCCCACACACCATTGATCCAGTGATTGACCCTGCACTGGCTGGATCAATACGCTCTTAAAAAGCATCTTTGTAGGTGCTCAGGCACAATGGCCAGGCATTATTTGTGCAGTTCATTTCCAAGGTAGCAAGGCTGTGCAGGGCCCTAACCCAAGTCAACTCTACTTTCTCTTCCACTTACATGATCACACCAAATAGAAGAAAAGGGGCACTGAAAAAAGGTATTGAGCGTCCTGTATACCTGCAACAAAAGAGGCAGTGGGCCATGCAAAACTACTTGTAATGACTCACGACTATTAGATACTTCAGTTAAAGTTGCCTGTGGATACAGCAAGGCTTATATACAAGTAACTGGCATAACACAGGCAAGTAGGCAGATCGATAGCAAACATTCAAACATTTATAGATGAAAGAAGCCAGGTGTGAGGGTACAGATCAGCAAAAGGAAGTGCAAACTGGGGGTAAAGTTAACCTGAACCATGGAACACCAGACACACATTTAATCTTCACTTCCATGTAAGTAATTTATTATTTTATAGAAAGACTTACTGCAGGTCACAGTAGTAAAGGTATAGCTTAAACAGTATTTACCTGAGGGAGCAGCAGTATTCAGTAGACTCATGTTCAGTACATCACTGGGTAGCCTATTGTGGCTTGGTGTGCATACAGAAACAGTGTTGGGTTAGAGCTAGGTCTGGGTCCTGGCATTAAATGACTACAACTCTGACAAGTCTCAGAGTTCTGTCACTGTGGTTCACAGGTCTTGTTAGCCAAGGTGTCAGCAGGGGTGGAAATGATGGTGTATGTGTTGTGAGTGTGTATATGTGTGTGAGGTGAACATTAGACAGCAGTCCTACCTCCACCTCCTCACCTGACACCAGCAATAAAACTAAACAGGCCAAGGTGCTATGCTGTGTGTGTGTATGTGTGCATAGAAAAAAAAGGGGGGGCATGTGCGGCTGCAGGGTTGTTGCTGCTGTCACCAATTTGCCAGGGCCTCCAGACGGGAGTAGGAGCAAGGTGACGGAGCTGGGGCTTGATAAACACAGAAACCCTGCTTCGATTTCCCATCCAGTCCACTTTGGAAACACATGGCTCTTCTTGGGAGCTCTTGGCCAGGGAGTAGGGAGTGGGGTGGGGTGGTGGTTGGGGGGTTGAAGAAGGGGAGCCATGAGAGAGACAGTGATGGGTGTGCAAGAAAATAGCAGTCAGGAGGAAGGCTAAAAGAGAGAGTGATAAAAGGGAGGTAGAGTTTGTGGTACAGATAGGAAGAGGGTAGAAAGTGCTGACAGGCCCGTTGGGACCAGATATATTACTTCAAATCAGATTCTTCCATGCTTGCGTAGATAGACAACACAGAGAGAAAAGGATGGATATGGGAGGATAGAAAGAACAAAAAAGAAAGAGATGTGAACTAAGAAATTTAAACAAATTTCAAAACAGCTACTTATATGCTCCAAAATGATTATTTACAAAGATAAAACAACAGAATCATACAGTCTAAACGTCATCTTCTTCTTCTTGCTCTCTCTGTCTTTCATTCTCTCATTCTGTTCATCTCTTTTCCTCTTGCCTGGAAACAACCTGCAGTGTTCCGCCTTTCAAACGACATCAGAAGTTAAAAGACCAGCTCCAGTTGGAGGAGCAGGAGTGTCAGTGAAGGAGGTGGGGCACTGAACTCCCCTCTGCCCCCCAGAGAGTGCCTCAGCACCAACATAAGAGGACAAGTGTGGGCTCTAAGCACCAGTGATCAAACATGAGCGGCTGCTGGGTGCGCTAGGCTCAGGATGGTTGGCCTAATAGGATTGGAAACCCCCCAATTGAGCCAAAGGACACCTCCAATCAGTATGATTAGCCAAAGGCTGAGAAGCATTTCTAGCTATAGCAGTGAGTGATGTACAGTACTAAAAGGATCACATGGAGAATGCAAGCAAGTCATGGTATGTAGTGGCATGGCTGATGGTGCATGTCAGAGTTGTGTGTGAGAGTAATGGAGTTTAAAGTTACATGCAGTTTTAATGTGTCAGGAGATTTTGACAGTTTGCTGATCATCGTTAGGAAGCATATGACGTGTGGAGCTCTAAATAAATCTTTCTGGCTACTTATAAAAACAGTGTGTGTTGTATACATGTATGTACACAGCCACAGTGCAGTCCTGAACACGCATGGCACATATAAATGTGAGGCTTTCGCTGCTCACATACTAAATGTCTCACCATCTAGATTCACTCACAATTATATGCGCAGACAAACACACACATACATAATGTTCATATTCACAAACACTCTCAGATAGGCTTTTATAAACTCATCAAATTCAAAAAACAATTACCAGAGACTGAGCTCATCACTGACTAAGCAAAAGTCATCCAGCGTGTAAAACACACAATATAATTAGCACACACATGAAGCTGCTGGGTCCTACTGCGCATTAATGATGCTTCCCTCTGAAGTGAATTATGGTTTGATGAGTGAGGAAGTGACTGAGGAGGGGCTTTGAGGAGGAGCAAGACATCATTTGAGGCAGAGGTAGAGGAGACAGTGTGAAGGGGAAATGGGAGGTTCTAAACCTGAATTTAAAATTTAACTGGTTTACCAGAGAGATATGAACATTTAGGGAAGGATGATTTGGCTACTTACCTGTGGTGAGGGCCATTATATGCCAGGTACCACAGGCAACATCACACACCTGCATAATATAAAAACAGCTTTTAGACTTTAAAGTAGAACAAAATTTCAAAGTACATAGAAAATACCAGCGGAAAACTTTCCTCAAGGTTCCACTGCAACTGGATTCTTGTATTATGCTGTATTGAATAGAACTGTTATTTGAGAATAAATAACATATAATGTTAACAGAATTATTTTACTTGCTACAGTACTGATTTGCCGCAGCCTCACAAAGATGTCTAATACGTCTTTGATCTCATTATTTACTGTTAAAGCATACTGACATGGTAAATAGCACAGTGAGGAACCATAAGCTAAACTCTAAACCAGTAGGTTGTCAGTTAAGGACAGAAATCCAAATTTGTGGTGGGTTTATTGGTTGGACCATTTGTTTACACCTCTGTTTGCAAAGTGAGGTCACCATTAAAGAGTCTCTTGTTCTCTAGGAAGCGACAAGTCAGCAAGAAGCATAAAATTTGCTGCATGTAGCACATCTGGCTACACGCTGATCTGTGATGTTTTCATTAGCTGTGAATGCCTAAGCAACTGCTGTGATGTCGCTGAGTGGTGTATGGTTAGGAGTGCTATATATCAACCCTATACAGTATATCATCCCATTGGACCTACCCTCTATGCATATCCAGGTAAAATGTCCATATTCCAAAAATCTTGAGGCTTTCATCTAACTGAGCCTGAAAGCATAATTTGTGCAGTTGTTCTCGTACAAACCTTTCTGCATGGCAGTGGAAGAGGCTGGGGGGTCCAGAGCCTTTTGAGGCCTGGATATTCACTGACCCAAGATACACAGGAGATCTGACCCCAAAGAAGTAGTTCTCCACCTGCTGCAGATATGAACAAAAAGGGAGAATGTTCAGACAGAAACATCAGAAATGCATGTAGCTAATGGCGCCTTGCCACATTTTATCTTAACTGTGAAAAGTAAAATGACCCTTATGAGGATGTGTTGGTATGTTCTTGTCATCTGTTCCTAACCTCACCGATGTATTACCAACTGATTGTGGGTTCGAGATCACAGCTACATGAGCCCGTTGAAACAACAAGCATAGTTTGTGGTCACGCTGGAATAACACAGTTTAGTGCCAGAAGTGGTTTTCTCTATTCAGTAGCTCTGAAGCCAGGATGAAACCAGACCCCTGGTCTACCACAGATTAGCTGGCTCCTTAACCTTACAACTCTGATTTCCTCCAAATATACTCCAAATAAACACTGACCCCAATTAGAAACTCTTAAATGTAACTGAGAATTACATCCTATCAGTTTGCTTTAGTTTTGAAGAAGTTGATGTATTGCACAGAAACCCTGCCCACTCCACACATTACATTACCTGGCACTCTGAGCAGAGGGAACATATTCTCAGTTGGCACTTATCAAAGACACACACACACACACACACACACACACACACACACACACACACACACATACATACACACAGTATGCACTTACATAGAGCAAACACAAACATCCACTCACTCATGCTACCTCAGTCTGCCTATTTAAACCTGCCACTAATAAATTTATATTTACAGCCTCCATTGAGGACTTTTAATTTATGGCATACAATAAACTTGGCACACACATCTCAAAAGCTCTTTCAGGGGATGTTAAAGCAATGTAGTAAGCAATTTTCCAAAGTGGATTACAAATTTCACATCCAGGTTTTATTGCACATTACGATAACTTAACCACATCTAAACGTTCCGCATAAATGGGAAATATGTGCTGCTTAATATGCTATTTTTCATTTTTTAAGAAGCGCTTTGCTAACCCTGCCAAGCGAGGGAGCATGCTGGTTTGTGTGGTGGGGGAGTCAATAATCTTTATGAGGTGGATTTTAATTACAAGGAGATAACTGAGTATCCTCCTCACGGCAAGCCTCCATCAATCTCTATTCTGCATCAAGCTGTATGTGGCCTTGGCGCACACACACACACACATACGCACAAACACAGTCATACAGACGCAGATACCCTTTCAGACATGATTGATCAATCAATCAGTAATGTATTATTTTCATCTCAGCGAAGCAAACCTTATAAAAGCATGAGGCAGGCAGCGCGAGATGCTGCTGTACCACACACAAACATATGCTTCCACTACTAACACATACATGTACAGCACACACACACACACACACACAGAGTGACAGACATACACACACACACACTCGCTTACAGACGCTGGCAGGGTAATCCAGCTAAAAAAGGTTAAGGCTGATGTTTTCCCAAAGAACGACAGTTTGTGAAAGGTCAGATCAATCATGTGCTAAGCATGCCTCGTAAGCAATCCATAAAGAGCTTGTTTTAAATAATAACATTTTATAGATCACCTAAAGACATAACTGTACCACTGGCGGGTAGGGACTTACTCTACAAATAGTCTTCAGTGCACCAGGAATTCAAATGGGAGCAAACTTAATATGTTGACTGCAGTTCATTTAATGAACCAGTGGCATTTCCAGCAAAACTATGTGCACAATGCCAGCAGACGTCTCTGTTCAACAATAGGCAATTCTTTTAACAGAATATTGCAGTACAGCAGTAGGCTGTAAATGTGCCCTGGTCTTGAAAAAAAGCACAATGCCTTTTCTCTTTAAGTGGCTGATGTTACAGTTGTAGTGTAACCACTTTCATTCCATCTGTCTGGCAGAAGGCAAGCAGCAATTGAAGGAGAAGTAGTTGCCTGACACTTTGTAATGGTGTAAATGCATTAGAACTGGCTATGTGGCAGTTCAGCGACTATGGAGCAGGGGGGAGATGAATCAGGTTGCTGAAAATCATGCAAGTTAAAGGATAAGGTGAAGAAAAGTCTAAAAAAATGTCTATCTGAGACGACTTGTTTTAAAATGTAGTCAGCAAAGTGGGCTCAGGGTTTGCTTTTTAGGAATTACAGGAGAGACAGCAGGACTAGTGGGAAAGCTGGTGTAAAGATGCGGCTTGCGTCCTTATCTCTCGGTTTTATTAACAAAGTAGCAACAGGGATAGTTTGAGATCTTCACAGGGTAGTTTAGGGCATATCTGGTTGAACAACAAATCAATTCATTATGTACATCATCCAACACATAACACAGAAACTGGGTGCAGTATTACACAATTTTGAGTTAATGAGGTTGAATTTGTGCTCCGAGTGATGTCTTCTGAGGACACTGAATCCTTGTTGTGTTAATTAAAACTGAACAAAATGATGTAGATGAAAAAAATTATCATGGCTCAAAGCCACAGTGAGGGATACGGCTGGGAAAATAAGGGTTTCAAGTTAATAAGTTGTTTTATATATTGTGAATACAACTTTTAAGGATTAAAAAACATCACGATGACAGATATCGACAGTGACAATTGGAGCTTTGAGATAAGCTGTTTTATTTAATTGTACTTAACATTTTTTAGGCCAAAATAGCACAGCTGGGGAAAAGAAGAAACCTCTTCATGGGCTACCACAGCAGACTGGATGCTCGACTCACCTGTGACAGCTGCACTGTAGCTGTCCCCTGCTTGTATCTGTGTGACTTTGGCTAGCTGAGAATAGCTGAGAAGACAAGGAGTAGAGATGTGAATCCTGTCTTCTCCAAGTCCAAGCTGTCCCTGCAAGCAAAATAATGATAAAGTGTCAGTCACAGGATTAAATAAAAGTTTAATTCCAATGATTTCATTGCTCATTGATAGAATAATTAAATAAAGACACAGCCCTAAGTGGCATTTCAATTTTGGGGAAAGAACATTTATCTTTCATGTCACCCTAATTCATGCTGTCCTGCCATTACTCAAAGTAAATATGGTTGTAAGATCTGGTGAAGAGGAAACTGTATATCAGAGCATCATAATTTAAGCAGGTCTCTGTAAAGCTCTGTTATAATATCTGCTGAGTATGGTTATATATGACACAAGGAACTGGCTGTTCATCTCAGCTCAAATGGCTGTCACTGAGGAGGAAATACTGTTGAGGAAGGCACACTGCATATTTCTCTCAACAGACAAAAAGTCCACTGTGTTTCATGTTTCATTTACCATCATGCACAACTGCCTGACACTAGCGAGTGGATCTGTGTAAAAACTCAATTCAAACACAAAGGCTTAATGACCATAGTATCTTCTGCAGTACAATAGAACGCATTGTCCTACATTTACATCTCTTTCTCTGTGGTACAAATGGTGAGGGTGTTTAAATTGACTTCTCTCAGCTGTCCCGCTCCTCTCTTCTGCGATTCCTCCTGCAGAGATAAAGGGCTTTCTGCTCTGTGCTCATGTGCACGTTGGCATGCCCTGGCATATGTTTGAAAGTGAGCACAATATGTGTGGGTTTACATTTCAGTGTGTGTGTGTGCACCATGCAGTAATTTGGGTCTTTAATTGCTTATTCATATGTGTGCTACTGTGAGGATTTGTAGATGCGTGGCAACATATGTTCCTGCTGTGAGTGTGTGTGCCTATGTATTTATAGGTGTGAATGTATGTGCGCCCATCAGTGTGAGTTTGTGTGTGTGTGTGTGTGTGTGTGTGTGTGTGTGTAAGTTAGCTTGCATTTAGGTACAGTAAGGGAGCCAGTATGTCCATAGCTGAGCTTTTGTGCACGCTTGTGTATGTGCGTGTGTTTAAACTATATGTGTATTTTTGTGTGTCTGAATGAATGAGCACTGTCAGGTGCTGCTCCATGCTATGCCAGCTGCATCTGGAGCCATCTGTGATGGGGCTCAGTGGGAGGGGAGCGGATGACTTTAATGTACTTGAACCCCAGACAGACCTTTCTCAGACAGTCGTCGGTAAGAAACCAAGGCAACTGGGCTCAGTCAAGCTTAACTGGCTGATCTGGGTGGTGAGCAGGAGACAGACGCTTTGGTTACACTGTAACCCTGGTCAGACTCACTAGGGAACCCCCTGGCAATCACATACACACAAACACAAGAATCTGTTTGTTTCAATGATAGAATAGCAGTGTTCTATATCAGAGGACACTCTCACCTTTTCTTAGCTGTCCAGGTTTGTCTGCCTGTTGTCTACATTGCAGTTGAGGTTTACTTTATTTCCATGTGCGCATGGAATGTGTGTGCCTATGTACAATGTGTTTGTGCAGTTCCAAATACTTAGCATGTGTGTATAGACTCGATAGAATCAGAGGACTTATAACATGATCTTTGACAAGTTATAGTTGTATAAGTTATAGTTATACAGTATTTATGTTTTACTCTTTTCAAATTTACTCACACAATTTGGTTCAAATCTGTGGTTTTGAATTTATATTGTCAAAACAAACTTTTAGGCCAGAGTTCAAATTATAGGCCTTGTTTTGAGGTGTTCAACAGTATATATATTTTCAAATGCAGCAAATGGTTGCACTCTTTGTATGGCACTGGCACTTGCTTTTATTTTTAAAACATTTTAGAAATGGCATTCGATTTTTTCTATTAAGGAAACACAATATGACTTGGGCCTTGATTGTCGGGAATTATTTGTAACCCTGTTATTCTCAATCAACTACTACAAAATTGAAACAAAACAAACAAACAAATCCCCCATACATTCTAAATGACAACTCCACAACACTAACCACAAAACTAAGAACAGCAGAGTATATGAACACAGACAACAAAAGGCCCAGGAACAATCTTGCAGCAACAATATGATTAGCGAAGCACAAAATCAATTAATGCAGCAGAGGAATCAATAGGTGTCTGTAAGCATATATGTTATGCAGTTAATTAATAAACAAAAAGAACAGTAGAGCATCACACTGTTGCAACAACTGTCATCAGTCACAAAGTGTGAACAGACAGC